TAGCTAGTAAAGATTGTATTGTTTTCCTTTAATTTGTTGTAACCTTTCTAGAAAATATTTATTTAGAAATCGTGAGATGAGGTCTGGTGTGATGTAGGTTTCAGAAAAGCATTTTCTTTATCGTGCCAACGTTTCGATCTTTATTGAGATCATCTTCAGGGTCTGGGATTTACAAACATTGATTACATATAACAATTACATTTTGGATGTGGAAAAGTGAATTTATACAATGCAAAATTTACTTTTCCACATCCAAAATGTAATTGTTATATGTAAACAATGTTTGTAAAGCCCAGGCCCTGAAGATGATCTTAATAAAGATCGAAACGTTGGCAGGATAAAGAAAATGTTTTTCTGAAACCTACATCACACCAGACCGCATGTCACGATTTCTAAATAAATATCGATTCATGGTCACTAATCACCACACTTTATAGAAAACTTCAAAAATTGTAAAGAATTATTATTATAGTGTTTTTTTTAATGACAAATTGGTTTGATTGTAAATTAATTGGTTGGCTTTTTCACTTTAATAATTGCGACGATTTAAGACTGAAAATTAATTTTAAACAAATGACACTTTGTGTAAGTACTTGTTTATACTAATTTTGCTATATTTCTAAGATGCTTGTAATTAAAAAATTCTCAAGAAAAATTTAATCAAGTATGAAATGATTTGTATTTTTCACAGAGGTCAACAAATATTAAATTGCACAGTTCGTAAGTACCGGTTACCGCTAAGTGACAATTATGGCCTCAGATCGTTATTTTTGGCAAAGTCTATTGAAATGTTTGGTTTAGTGCATAAAAACAAAAATTACATAATAAAGGATAATCCAGTAAAATTCGTACAAGATGATTGTATAGAGATTCCTTTGACACATGTAAAACTCAATGAATGCTCAACTAAATTAATTGCGTTAATGAAGTTATCATTGTTTCACAGATTTATCGCTTTTGTTCAGAGCTAGTTAAGTTAAGTCAATAAAATTAGAATTGAGATTTAGCTCATTAGTAAGCAGTTAAAAGAGGAAGCAATTTTTGGGCTTACTCCCTCGGTCGTTTAATTATCCCAAACAATTGCGTGATTTGAAAGTTATATTTGCTTTTAAACAATAATTCTATCTGTCCTTTAAAAATTCAGTTTTGATTTACTTAAACGACTTTAAGAAATATGCAAAATTGTATGTTAAAAATATAATAACAACAAAGATTTTCTTTCAACTTTGTCAATATACTAAATATTATATAATGTTTTTTCGCATTTTCTTTTCACGTTTTAGTTGTTTATTATACAATTTTGTTCATATCGCCAAATTAAAATAATTAGTACATTGTAGCACAGATACATTTTCGGCATTTACAATGGGTTATACGTACATTATTATATTACCTATATTATGTATATGTTATTTTATATCTTTCCTGGCTGTGAAGATTCTATTGTTTTCAATAAACATGTTTTCTTTCTATTTGAATAATATGAATTGTTGTGTATGATTGTTTGGAGATAGTGAGATGCGGTCTGGTGTAACGTAGATTTTAGACAAACATTTTCTTTATCGTGCCAACGTTTCGATCTTCATTGAAATCATCTTCAGGACGTGGAATTTATAAACATTGTTTAAATTTTACAATTACATGTAGGACGTAAAAGAAAAAAAAGAATGAATACAATACTAGAAATTTTAGATTCAATCAAAGCAATTGTACTACACATAAAACAAACACTTTGAGTGAGTATAAATACTTCTCTGAATCTAAAATTTCTAGCATTGTATAAATTCATGTTTTTTTTTATTTTACATCCTACATATATTTGTAAAATTGAAACAATGTTCAAAATCCCAGGCCCTGAAGATGATCTCAATGAAGATCGAAACGTTGGCACGATAAAAAACAAAACGTACGTCACACCAGACCGCACCTCACGATCTTCAAATAATCATTAACTAACGGTCACTAAACACCACACATTGTTGTGTACGTTAACAATTTAACAAATTGTAAATCCTGTTTCTATGTGGTTCAATTTTTTCCTCTGTAGTTTAATTGATTTCAAATGTGCTACATTACAAGATATTATGCGTACTCTTCTGGGAATTTGTGCTATTTGCGTAGTAGTAGTAGTAGTTGTAGTAGTAGTAGTAGTAGTACATATTATTTATGGGCCTACAAACAACAAGTTTTCATCGCCGGCCCTCTTCCCTTTAAAGGTAAAATACTTTGTGTTTTCCGGCATCTTTTCCACTAACTCTCTTATATTTCGTCACCTGCTTTCTTAACTTGCTAAACTCTCGTACTTTCTTCAGGTTGTCAAATTACTATTCAAAGAACGAGAAAACGCAAACACATAACACCTAAAGATCTTACACCGCGACGCCGCTAGCAACGGGAGCCCAGTACCAGGCTGAAAAACCCGGAACACCCCTAGAGAAAACCCCGCAATGCTGAAGAGCCTGGACAACGCCTCCGAAAACACGCTGTGGCCTTCAGTGAGGTAGACGGATGCACACGTCAGGCGTCGTACATTACACTCTCACACCAGCATGTAAACACATACTTTGTAATTTTAAATACTTATATCCCAGAGGTAACATCCGTGCCGCAGTAATTCGCGTAGGTCAGCGGGAACTCCGTAGCTCATCCTGCAGGATTCTAGCTTTCTGCATTGCAAAATATGCTCAATGCTTAATATTTCGGTACATAATGGGCCCAAACGCGGTCTCTTTCCCGCCAGCTTGTGCTCATGTATAAGCCTAATATGACCAATGCGTAACCTGGTATGTATGACAGTTTCCCTTGTCGACCCGGGCTCAGTGAGCTAGCAAATTTGCGTAATGAACAGGCCATTTGACCGCATGAACAAATATCCAACAAAGAATTTCTGGGAATTAGTATGTGAATATGTATAGTCATAAATTAATGTACACATATCCAAAGGAAATGGCCGATTTCTTTATTTTACGTACGTAATTCAATCTAAGATGTTAGTGATAAATGTTTATATTTTTATTTTTAAGTGTGTTTTAAAGCTTTTATTTTGAACAGGTAAACATTTTCGCCTGTAGGATTTTTTTTCAGTTTTTTTAACGTTCGCTTTATCTTTATTTTCTAATTAAGACTTACGAAGCTACTTTTTGTATTTTGTCTATAAATTCAATATGATTTAGTCCTGGCTAATTATTGACTATCACTTTATTTTAAGCCCCCTGCTTTATCATCAACCCACATAAGTGATTGAAAAGTTGCTTGCTTCTCCTTAACCGCTGTAATTAGCGAAAACAAAAAATAAAAAAACAATTATTTTGATAAAATTTGCGGTTTGAATTTAACAAACTTGATACCATATGTTAACTGGAGCGTTTAATTCTTGCCCGTTAAAGCAATAATACACCTGAACCGTATGATTTATGTATTATGTATGACATTTAAAACTTCTAAAACAGGGTTTATTTAAATATCATTTTAAAATTTTCAAGATGCATTCTAAGTCAAGTTCAGTTTCTTTTTTTTTTTGGGGGGGGGGCAACGATTAAGGCTTTGACAAGGTGGCCCTGCATTCGAACTATACATACTTACAAATGGGCTTTTTTTCAAAAACACCGGCACACCGTGGGTTCATACGACCTCATACTTGAAATACCCTCGTAGAAAAAATCAAATTTCAATATAAGTATTTTCTAATAAAGCTAGTTTTATAGCACTAATTTATCTGAATTATATTTATATATTTGTGACACGTGCTCGGAAATATTGAATAGTGCAAAAGTTTAACGCGCTTTCATAGTTTTCCGTCATAAAAATGGCGGGAAATTTGTTCTTAGAGTGATTACATTGTTATACAACGTTGCATGCCGTATTGAGCTCATTGAAGAGCATGCATTTTATCTTAGGTTGAAATATTTATGATTAGCGAGAAGTCAGGTTCAGAAAATTAGAAATTCAACCGTCACAAAATATCAAGACATTTTTGTCAATAAGTCTGAACGAGAGAATACAAAATATGATTGTTCGTTAAAATATTTAGAAATATTTATCGGGATCTTTCTTCTGTACATAAACAAATGATTTTGTGATTTTTATAATTTTTTTAAACTTGTTCGTAAGAAATTTTAATATTAATTTTTTATGTAACTAAGCATATATAAATTCTATCTTTGTATAAATATAGGGAAAATCGATTTTGTAAATAACGGCTTTTTGTTCTATTGAAGGGCTTATTCCTCCATGAGAAAATATCGAAAAATGTTCATTAAGTGTTTGAAAGAAAGACTAACGATAATTTTTCTTCATTTCGTTTTTCTTCTGTACTCTCATCGAATTTACATTTTTAACTGTTTATATTACTTTTTAAACATTTTTTCGTACACAACCTTATTTTTAAATTTTTACCAGCTAACAAAGCTAATTAAAAATAGATCTCTTAATATGTTGAATATGGCCTTGCACTTTATTAATCTTTTTTTTTTTTTTAAGATTTACATATAAATTTCAGGTTCAGGAAATTAAACCCTAAACATTATACTTAACTATTTGTATTGATAAATTGAAAAGAAAATCGCAAAGAACTGGTTCACTATACGAGGTTTCAAAATAATTATGGAGATTTTCCTTTTATTTAGAATAAATTGTTTATATTAGTTGTTTTGTATCTTTTTCGTTTATCTTAAATATTTGAAAACTGAGGGTATGAGTTGAAAATGAAAATGAATGTTTTTATTAATACTATTTTTTTAAGAACTATATCTTTCTCAATTACCTCCATTGTACAAAAATTACGATGACATTTATTTCATCCATGACATAAAGATAGATAAGAAAAGTTTTAAGTCCATCAGAATTGGTATCAAGAATAAGGTAAGGAGGAAATAATGAAGATATAAAAGTAAATTTAGAAAAAATTCTCTCGGCATCGTGGGTGTTGAACTGTGGAAAAGACGTTCGCGAAAATTCATATCGGTACATATGTTACTGAAAGGATAGTTAATAGTTCTAACCTGATAATCACGGTTTTCATCTTGCTTGACGAGGCCGAAAAGACAGACGATGTAGGTGGCGAAGGTGCCTGCGGCCAAGACGAGGCAGTATTTAATGCTGAGGGGCAAGGTGACATATATGAGGTACTCAAGTACAAGGATCCAACCTAGGTCGTCCCTCGGAGTGAGGTCTTCTAGCAGGAACATCCTGGCCAAGATCTGGAAGTTAGCCGCCTGCCAGGCTATGTGCGGTATGGTCGTCCATACGAACCTTCTCCTGGCCCGCAGCGACACGAACAGGAGGCACAGGTTAGCCGCCAAGAAAAACGTAGTCACTCCCCGGTTGAGAAGCTCCTGCTCGAAAGGGATGATGAGACAGTATATGTCGTAGAGAAGGGACGTGATGACAAAACACTTGAGGTACGGCCGGCGCTGCTTGACGCTGTACGCTCTGTACAGGGCCTGCAGGTGCATCTTCACACGGCTTATGCTACGAGACCGGTCTGGCCCAGATCGAACCGGGAGGGCTACTGGCCGTGAGTCGATACTACGCCCCTCCCCGACCGCCTTCCCACCACCGCTCGTCGCGGGGGAGGCAGACCGGCACCCCAATCAATCACAACCCTTTCCACCTACCTTTAAATACTCGCAGAACTCCTTCCGCAAACCACCGGTCGGCAACCCCTTCTGCCTGTCCTTTGTCTCGACCTGCGATAATACCTCCCTATAAGCCAGTTCCTCAAGACCGCAAATGCCTCTATGGCAACATCAAAAACGTTCTGTTACAACTGTTTTGCATTAAAAATAGTGCAAATAGGTTGGCAGAATCCTGGTAGAACAGATGAGTCATACAAATAAATAGAAATATTTCTGTGAACATCCTCAAATAACTTTTTAAAAAGTTTGTATTACTGTATAATTAAACAGATTTTAACAAAACAAAGTTCATATTTGTTGAACGTTGATTAACTCTTACACACAATTTTAACATATTCTACTATTGATGAAGACACTTATTTTATACTATTAGGTTATTAATTAGGTTAACGTACTTAGTTTCTGTCATAACTTGTATATTCCCAAACACATGAAAAGTCTGTAATTTCTACAATATAACATTAATAATTAACTGTTAAATGTTGAATGTTACATTAATAATCAAGGTTATACACAATAAAGACCACAGTTAGTAAGTTGATTATTCCTTAACAAAAGTGTAAAAATATTCTGAAATTATTACTTAAAAACTGATTTAACAAGAGAAATAGATGACACATACTATTGTATTATTAATCAGTGCTATATTTATTGTCGGCCTAATGGAAGAAAGCGTAGGTCAGTTCCAAAACTATTTACAACTGACGTATACAATAATATAAATTCGGTCAAAAATAAAAATGAAATTAACATTATTGGTACAAATTATTTTACAATATTTTGTCTTTCCTTTGGAAAGTAAAAGTGCAAATTCACTAGCTGATAAACGTTGAATATGCAATCAAAAATGTTCGTTTAATTATCTACAAAAATATCCGCAAAGATAATAATGAGGTATTATGAGAAATTACGAGATAATTGTGAGTGATTGAATTTTTTGTCAATAACAATTGAAAACTGGTTCTTAATATTTCTTTTAACGTAAAAATTAAATTAGAGTGGTGGCCCAAAGGTTACGGTTTACGACTCCTATTGGCTTCTCTAGCGATAATTGGTTCGAATCCTGCCGTACTACATCGATTTTAAAATTTAATGTATTGATTAATTTGAAAAAACTTTCAGCCTTTCTTTATATAAATTTAAAAAATTATAAAAATGTCTTTTTTAGCAAGAAACATTTTTGATAATGTAAAATAATAGTGTCGCACTACATTAAGAACTTACTTTATATTTATTTTACTGAATGTTAAATATATATTTTACAATATTTTGATGAAGTTTATAGCGTTCAACCTGATATTGTTTAACTTTTTGAACTCTGTGTCTATCATAAATTTAATTTAAAAGTTTAATTACTCAATTTAAAAAGTATATTTTCTTTTGAATAACAGTTTCTCTCCAGCCATTTTTCTTGATGGTTTTTTTTTATTATTCGAAACAATATTACGGTTTTTAATCCCTGTTTTAACTTCGGTCATAATGGATAGTCGGGTGTTTTTCGAAGCATTGATCAATCGAATAAAGAATTCTGTGGCATCCCTATGAGTATTTATTTATATACAAGGCAAATATGACCTTTCTCTTTGACCTGTCATTGAATCATGATATCAGCTTTGAGGAGATGACGGAGGTGACGGACCAACCGGAATTTGTACCGACATAACGCCAATTGGTCGATCCTGTGTGGCCGAATTTAGCCGAATGCGGTTTCGCCGCGTTGAAAATGTCCCGCGGACATTTTAAAATAATTATAATCAAATTTAAAAAATCCCTTCATTTCTATCCAACCAGGTTATACAATAATTGTTAATATCTTTTGATGTAAAAAGCTAAATGCAAACATTTTGTGATGAATTCAATAGTCAACTGACAGTTCAGAATTGACCAATAAGATTTATGACACTAGTTTATTTATTATACAAAAGTTCAATAACGATTTAAAATGATACAACTCTTTTGATAAGTTTCTGGTTTTTCAGTTCCTTAAAACGATAATTTTTCGGCATATACACCAATAAATATTTTTTCTATGTAATGCAATAATATCTACTGCAAGTTATGTAACGTAATCGAAAGCAGTCGGGCATAGTTTGTTATCAGTATTGTTCTAGCTTGGCAAATATTACGAGATTTTATTGCAGATTTGAGTGTGAAAAGAAAAAATAGAAATCCGTTAAAATTTTGGTAGTATATATTAATTATTCAGAAATAGCGAGATGCTATCTAGTGTGATGTACGTTTCAGAAAAACATTTTCTTTATCGTGCCAACGTTTCGATCTTTATTGAGATCATCTTCAGGGCCTGGGATTTACAGACAATGTTTAAATTTAACAAAAATATGTAGGATGTGGAAAAAAGTGAATTTATACAATGCAATTTTTTTTAAATATTCAATCAAAGTATTTCCACTCACTCAAAGTGTTTGTTTTTTTGCGGATTTCTGAATAATCATCCACTAACGGTCACTAAACACCACACATTTCTACGAGTATATATTAAATGGTTTTTTATAAATATAAATCAGCATAAAACCTTTTAAATAATTTTATTATAAGATGAACTACAAAAATTGGAGTATTCTTCCAAATTGCTTTCGTAGATCAAGCCCTAATCAACCTTTTAGATCTTGATTCTGAAATTTCATTTTACAAGCATTTTGACTTATTTTATTTTTTAATGAAAAAATTCTAGAAGAACAAGTGAGGCTGTTGTCAATATTGATGCTTTCCGAAAAATGCATAAATTAAACTGAAATTTAAATTATATGCTGCTGAGCTTAAACCTTTTTGATTCTACAATGGCAAGAAGGACTGTCCTGAAATATTTGTCAAAAGGATCTCAGAGGCCCCACTTCTCTATCAATTCATCCGTTATTAGAAGATGGCCTGTCTTCTCTGTGACTCACTCCTTTACCATTTACCAGCCAATTATTGCCCATTAGTTCAATGCGTTGTCATTTGTCGGCGGAGGGCGAAGAGCAAAATTCATGGATTCATGAGCCCATGAAATAATATAATTTATTTTATTATTTTCCCACTAGGTTGATACAAACTTTGCAATTTTGACTTAAACGATACTCCAGTATAATCGAAGACAAGCATAAATCCAACTGGATTATTATTTTCCCTTTTAATATGGTCGTTTTAAATTTTGGTCGTTATATGTTGTTAAATAATGACAGTACAAAAGATTAAAATAGATTTGCCTATTTACCCGTTCGATTTTGACGGGAAGAAAAAAATCTAAGAACCCCTGTAAGACCACGGTACGAAGAAAGTAACAATTCACCTAAACCATGCATTTATTCGAACACCAAAAATGATTAAATAGCGCGGCAAGCCGTTTCTTTCTAGACAAATCTTTTCAAAAATTATGTCATTACCAGCATTTGACACCCAACTACATGCTCTTGCTGGAGAGAACTGCCGATTGTTATATTCTCTAAAATAAGCTCGACAATCTCATTGCCTGAAGCTGGTCGAAGTACAGTTTATAATTTTACAAACCCATGATTTTTACAAGCCCCACAGCCTCAAAAAATCGTTTTCTAAAAATTTTCTCTTTAGAGTGTTTCAGTTATTTCGAAAGCTGAAACTCATTTGCCGTTAAATCCGATATGCGTATTTCTGTGTTACAAGAAACTCGATTGTTCATAGTCATTTTGCAAGTTAACCAATAATAATTTTAAGTTGTTCTTTAATAATTTATGTTGGTTTTTCAAACTTAGGTGTAAACAGCTTCAACTTAATTACCCCTCTGAGAGATAATTCCTTCAGCACTACCCATTGCATAACTCCTCCCCCAAGGAAAGACCAGCTTCACTCTTTTTCTGAGAGTCCCATTATATCAAAGAAGAAGATAGTTCTAAAACTAAGTTTTTTATTTATTTATTTTTTAATTACTGGAATTTCGACTGCTTCATTAATTGCACAATTCATTTCTCCTAATTGTTCTGACCTGGTTTGTTTTTTTATGAGAGCGCTGGAATATTTAGGTAAAGAGCTCCTAGAAAAATATCATTGTTAATTTTACAGTTTTTATTTTTTATTAGCTTGTTTTATTAGTGCTATTAGTTTTTAATTGGATTTCTTTTATTTTTCCTATTCTACACACTTTTACAATACTTCAGTGAATTTACCCCGGCCACCACCTCTTTCAGGCGGATTTGTAATCATTGCTATGTAAGAATAAGTTTTTGTTGTACTACCTTCAAAAAGTATTTTCTTTTCGAAAGCCTTCAAAAAATATGTCCTTTCTCATTCATTTATTCACTGTCTTTTTTTATTCTATAACTTTGATTAATACTTTTCAAATCTTGCCACGATTCTACGTCTGGTTAAAACACATTAAAAGAGAGTACTTGGGGCACCCATTTTATAGAAACGTTTTTAAATATGTTTTTAAATCTTTGTTGTGCATATATTTTACGGTGATTATATATTATTTAATTTGTTTTATTCTAATCTAGAATAACAAAACAATATCTAAGATTGTATTAAATGCGATAAGTTACGTAAAAAGTTACAACAACCATAAGACGCTTCCAGTAAAGGAGTCTAAATTTTTATTTAGACCAATTCGGATTCATTTCATATACATTTTCATTTTGATTTGTATAGTAAACAAATATCTTTTTCTTCCTGGATTTACCCCAGGACATTTTTCTTCTTTGGTGTGGCTCCACATAAAAATTCATTACTTCGGAGTTTTATCAGACATTTTAGAGAGTTGGAATATTCTGTTTTTGGCCTAGCTAAGCAAAGGTTAATTTTTTTATAGTCATTATACGTGAGAAAAATAAGGATGATATTAATAAAACATCTCAAACGCTTTATTTTATTTCACCGGTTCTAATTTATTTATGAAGGTAACGTAGCATCCCTTTTTCAGTT